CCTAGATTTTGGGCATCAACAAGCACAGCAGGGAGACAAAGTGGGGGTTGAGGGCAGCTTGGCGCTGGCTTGCTGACACCCCGTGGAATGAGCAGCCTGGGCAGCATGAACAGCTTCAGGAGGCAGACAGACTCCTGGGTAGAAAAGGGTGGGTTCCTGTTGAAGCCCTACCTACAAGCTGGGGAAGGCCTAAAGCTTGGGGGCCTGGCTGCCAGCCCCAAGGACCAGAATAAGAAATTATGGTGCTTTTTCTGGGCCTGTCCACGGCTGCCCATGAACCAATCAGCATGCACTTCCTCCCATCTGAGGCCCATAAAATCCCTGAACTCAGCTAGACTCAAAGAGATGATGGGACAACCTGCCCACGTGGAAGAGTTACTCACTCCAGAATCTTCTCTCTGCTGAATGCTGAGCAGACATCAGGCCTACCAGCTGCAGAGAGGAGCTACCCAATTCAGGATATCATCTCTGATGAGTACTGAACACTCATTGGGACATCCTGGGTGCAGAGAGGAGCTACCTACTATGGGTCTCCTCTGAGCTGTTCTATCACTCAATAAAGCTTTTCTTCACCTTGCTTAGCCTCCACTTGTTCATGTATCTCATTCTTCCTGGACACAGGATAAGAACTCAGGACCCACCAAATGGTGGGGCTAAAAGAGCTGTAACACAAACATGGCTAAAACATACCCCTTCCTCGCCATGTTGCAGGTGACAAGAAGGAGAGAAGAGCTGTGGCCCTTCACAGAGCCCAGACCTAGGAGTTCCCTGAGCCAGGGTTGTGACTGCAGCCAGCATACCTAGCTGTGTGCAGTGGTTGAACCCCATGCTCACTCACTCACACAGCCCTTGCCATTCCAAACCTGGCTCACTCTTGGCAGGTATGAGATTCATGCCAGTAGAGTGAGCTGAGTGCAGCCTGCCAGACCAAGTGGGTGGAATGAGCCCACCAGGCTCGAGTAAAAACTTGGGCAAAGATGCCACCTGCCACAGAGGTTTCTGGCTGGTGAGGCAACACCCAAGGATCCTATAATATTTGTATGTCCTGGAAGTAAGAGACAGCATGGCACCATGACATATATAGTTGGAAATAAATTAGGGTAGAAAAGCACACAGTCCATTCTTCTTAAAGCTCTGGAAATTACATACTGGTTTTTGAGTAAGGGAATGATTTGGCTAGTTTGCATTTTAGAGACAGGGTAAAGAAGACAGTTGAAGACAGTTTATAGCAGCAAACTATTAGATTCTATCGCAAGCAATCTAGAGAAGCCACGACGAAACAGTAGACTTGGGGAAAGACAAGTGGGAAGATTTGAGAGCAATTAAGGAACTAGAACCTTGCTGTACTTGGAAGGTGGATGCTAACAATAGTGGAAGAAAAGAGAGGGGTTGAGAACGAGACAGATATTTGACCTGAAAGACGCACTGAAACTATTTATTTATTGAGACAAGTTTTGGGTAAAAGAAGATAACATGTTTAGTTTCGAATAAGTTCCAATTTGGAGTAAGCTATAAATAGTGCTAGCTTTGTTAATAAACATTTGCATACAAGGATTCAGAGCACCTTAAAAATATCTTTAATATTTTAATGTTAAATGTTCAATTTTTTCCAGTTTAAGTGTTACCCCTTCCAGTATGCCTCTGGCCTACCCAACAATGACGTGTTGGATCAAACTCTTCACACACAAACCTCAATTTTGTCTTTTTACTAGAAAGGAAACTATAGTTCACAAAAATACAGCAGTCTCAATAACTCATCCTAGATTCCATTATAAATTCAAAGCATCAGAAATTCACAACTATTCATTAAATCTTTCTAAGAAAAAACACTAAGTGCCACATTAATACACACACACACACACACACACACACACACACAAAAGCAATGGGCTAAAACATATAATAAAGTGTAAAATAAGCTGTATATGTATGGAATAGTGTGCAGATGAAACTCATTTCAAGTGACATTTGCATTTATCAAAAGATTTTAAGTAACATTTGCATAAGGTAAGAAGTATAAATTATATAGGAAACATGCAACAAAAATATGTCCCTTTAACTACTAGTAGATAAAAAATACTCTAGGAAGACATTATGTATTATCTTCACTCCATTTTTTGCATTTTGTTTCCTTCTTTAATGTGGCATACTTTTATTCTCAAATAGATTAAACATTATAATAATTTACAGTAGTTGAGGTGTAAGAGAAAAGTGATTTCTTAGTTCTCTATTTTTCAGAAATTATAAATTCAGTTAGTGGGGGTGTACCTAATTGTTTATGATTGTTCTTTACATACATTTGCTATGTTTGGAGAGATAAATGGTTAAAAAAATCCAATCATTACTAAATAGAGTTTATATGAGTAATAGTTTGCTGTTAGCCACTATTAAAAAAATCAGGAGCTGCTTGGCATCAAAAAAGAAAAGAGCAAAAACCACATCAGCATACTAAAAAAAATTGTACTTTAAAAAATAAAAGTTTAATTTAAAATATTAGTTTATTCAAAGTGCACATATATTCAACACAAAAAATTATTTTTATCCAATTAGTGAAAGAACATAGTAAAAATACTAAAAAATGAAGTAAATTGTTTTTACCTAGAAGCATAATAAATCAGAAGCAAATTCTGTCAAACGTTAGTCATTGAGAACATCAATCTGTACAATGACTCTGCTGTCAACTTCAGGTTTTGAGACTTAATCATTTCAGGAGCAAGAAAGCCATAAGTCATATTTTACTCAAGAGACACTTGGGTACACATATTCAAGCTGTTACCCTCATAAATTTCTTGACAATTTGCCTGAAGGTCAATTGGCAATGAAATAATAAAAAATTTAATTTTTGAACACATTATGTGAAGGAGGATTTAAAGAAATATTTAGTCATTTGGCTTCATATATATATAAAACTGGGAAATATGAGACAGCTGCAAATCTAGTAAACACATTATAGTCCTGAAGTATACTTAATATGTAAGTGCATGATGTGGAAAGTGGAAGTGCTAAATAACATCAGGACATCTGACCAGGGTCATTTTCTCCTAAAAGTGCTCATTTTAAAATTTATTATATATCAAAAGAAGCATAGTTTATTAGTATATAATCCCTACACAGATTTTATTACATCATGCATTATATTTTTTCAGATTGTGGCACAATTAGGGTTGATTACAAAATAGGCCACAAATGTTTCCCCTCTCTGCATCCTCTTCTTTTAACACTTTTCTTTTACCTTTACTTTGAGGCTTGAACATGTGATCTGATGTGTATACTAGCTGCCGTAACAAAATACAATGGTGGCTTCAACAATGGAAATTTGTTTTTTCATAGTTCTGCAGGTTGCAAGTCTGAGATCTGAGTGCCACATAATTGGGTGAGGGTGAGGGCTCTTTTGCCGTGTGCTCACTTAGCCTTCCTCTGTCGAAGAAAAAAGTGAGAGAGATCAAGTTATCTGTTGTCTCATAAGGGCACTGGTTTCATCAGAACAAGGGCCCACCATCATGACTTAATTACCTCTAAAAGGTACCATCTCCAAATTGCATCACACCAGGCATTCTGGGGGTACACAAAGATTCAGCCCATAACACTGTGACCAGTGAATAAAATAATAAGGAATATGAATATATGAAAGAAGTAGATATTTGAAAACCATTTGTGAATTTGAATCTGTCCTCTCTTGTAGGTTGTAAGGATGTCTTGGGACCCTTGTCATCACCACCCTATGAAAAATGACAGGCATAGGCCTTGTTCCATCATTGCCCTTGTTGACCCAGACTCGCTTAGTTATGGGTAAGATGACCTAAAAGCTGAGGATCAGACCTACCATTTTATGAGACAACTGTAACTGAGTCTTAGTTTTTTAGAAATCCCAAACCTTCTAGCATGTTTGAATTTGATCCGTCTTCTGTCCTATTATATCCATTGTAATGTGGGATACCAGAATATCACTGGAGTAACAGCCTTTCCAAATGTACTCCTATCTCTGTAGCATGACTTCTATTTTGCCTGCTGCTTTTCACGCCAGTTCCCAAAGGACGGAAATCCTTGCCTAAATTTTAGCCCTTTTTATTAGAACATATATCTCCTACCTTATTTCTGCCACACTGCTCCTCTTTTCACACCTTCTTCCCAGTACCTCTTATTTTATTTATTTTTTATTTTTATTTTATTTTTTGAGATGGAGTCTCGCTCTGTCACCCAGGCTGGACTGCAGTATTTTGATCTCGGCTCACTGCAACCTCCGCCTCCCTGGTTCAAGTGATTCTCCTGCCTCAGCCTCCCAAGTAGCTAGGACTACAGGCATGCACACCACCATGTCTGGCTAATTTTTTGTATTTTTAGTATAGATGGGGTTTCACCATGTTATCCAGGATGGTCTCGATCTCCTGACCTCATGATCTGCCCACCTCTGCCTCCCAAAGTGCTGAGATTACAGGCGTGAGCCACTGCTCCTGGCCTACCTCTTACTTTAGAGATATGATAGCACTGCAGGGAATTTTGACTTAACCTAAACAGACTTACTAGCAATACAAATAACATTGGTGCTCTGACAAAAAATATCAGCACAGTTCAGATTCCCTCTGCTCTCCTCACCTGACTGGCCCTTTCCAATGTCAACACTAGTTCATGTGTAATCTAAGCTCCCTGGACACAGTGATATGGATTACCTGACACCTTAAACAGTTCTATCAACAAAGTTTTGCCAAAAGAAGCATGCCTCTTTCTATCATTAAATTCACAAATATTTATCAAACAACTCCTATATGGCAGAAGTCCAGTGTGCTAGGACTAAGAGTATAAAGATGAAACAAGATACAGTCTATGCCTTCGTGGAGTATATAATCCCTTTAGAGATAATAACAAGGAAAAAAAGAGTATAACGCTTTATGGCAACTTTACCCTGCTAGAATTATCTGAATTCCTAAAAATGGAAATTTATTTTAGTGACTATTTTCTTAGTTCTTCTAATATAACACAAATATTATGAAACAATGTAAAGGAGAAAAGTTAATTCAACATATAAAATGAATAAATTAGGTGTAAGGCTTAGGTCATTAGGGAATAATTTTCTTATCAAAATCTAGTTGGATTAAAAAGTGGATGATAAGAAACTTCTTGGAATTAAAAGAACTTGTTCTAACCCAATGCAAAGAAACTAAGAAACGAAGAAAGGCTTGACGAAATGTTAACAACAATACACAATTTAGAGAGGAATATAAGTGAATTAATGGAGCTGAAAAACACAACACGAGAACTTTGCGAAGTATGCACAAGTTTTAACAGCCGAATTGATCAAGCAGAAGAAAGGATATCAGAGGCCGAAGACCAACTTAATGAAATAAAATGTGAAGACAAGATCAGAGAAAAAAGGATAAAAAGAAACGAGCAAAGTCTCCAAGAAATATGGGACTATGTGAAAAAACCTAATCTACGTTTGATAGGTGTACCTGAATGTGATGAAGAGAATCAATCCAAGCTGGAAAATACGCTTCAGGATATTATTCAGGAAAACTTTCCCAACCTAGCAAGGCAGGACAATATTCAACTCCAGGTAATACAGAGAACACCACAAAGATATTCCTCAAGAAGACCAACCTCAAGGCACATAATCGCCAGATTCACCAGGGTTGAAATGAAGGAGAAAATACTGAGGGCAGCTAGAGAGAAAGGTCAGGTTACCCATAAAGGGAAGCCTATCAGACTCACAGCAGATCTCTCACCAGAAACCCTACAAGCCAGAAGAGAGTGGGGGCCAATATTCAATATTCTTAAAGATAAGAACTTTCATCCCAGAATTTTACATCCAGCCAAACTAAGCTTCATAAGCGAAGGAAAAATAAAATCTTTTGTGAACAAGCAAGCACTCAGATATTTCATCACCACCAGGCCAGCTTTACAAGAGCTTCTAAAAAACCACTACAAATAGAAAGGAACAACCAGTATCAGCCTTTCTAAAAAATACCAAAAAATAAAGAACATCAACATAATTAAGAACTTGTATCAACTAATGGGCAAAACAGCCAGCTAACATTAAACGGCAATATCAAACTCACATACATTATTATTAATTCAACTAAATCCCCCAATCCAAAGTCACAGACAGGCAAAAAAAGCCAAGACCCATTGGTATGCTACATCCAGACCCATCTCACATGCAAGGATACACAAAGACTCAAAACAAAGGGATGGAGAAAAATTTACCAACCAAATGGAGGGCAAAAATAATAAATAAATAGAAAGCAGGAGTTGCAATTTTTGCTGATAAAATAGACTTTAAAGCAACAAAGGTCAAAAGAAGCAAAGAAGGATATTACATAATGATAAAAGGATCGATGTAACAAGAAGAGCTAAAATATACACACACCCAATACAGGAATACCCAGATATGTAAGACTTACAAAGAGACTTAGAGTCCCACACAATAATAGTGGGAGACTTCAACATCAATATCAGACAGGTCAATGAGACAGAAAGTTAACATCGATATCTAGGACTTGAACTCAGATCAGGAACAAGTAGACTTAATTAACATTTATAGAACTCTCCACTTTAAATATACAAAATATACACTTTTATCAGTACCACATCACACCTATTTACAGGTTTAAATGAAATATTGGTTGGCTGCTTGTTAGTTATTTTCTTCCCTCATATTTTTTTTCCATGTCTCTTTTACTAAACACAATTACAGGCATACCCATTTTTAGACTGCATTCTAGCCCGGGCAATAAAGCAACACCCCAGTTCTCTCTCCCTCTCCCTCTTCCTCATTCTTCCTCTCCTTCATTTTTTCTTTCTTTCTTTTTTTTTATTCTTTCTCTTTCTTCCTTTCTTTCTTAAAATAAATAAATAAATAACTTCTAAGAATTAAAAAAAAAAACAGGTAGGCTTCTAATGTGAATGACTAATCCTCTTACATACTGCTTAAATCAGAGAACTGTTGCACAAGAACTGAAAAAAAAATACATATATTTATATAAATTATATATATATATATTTTTAGTATTTTTTTAAGTTTTTTTTAGTATGTTTTATATATATATATATATATATATATATATACATATATATAAAACATACTAAATTTTTAACTATTTTCTCAAATATTAAACAAAGGCTCACTAAATCTAATCACAAGACCAGTCATCAGTGCTTTGTTTGTCAAATAGTTTAGGTTCATAAGCTATGATCTTTGGGACATATGCTTAGACAAATTTCAGTAGTTTAATTAAGAAAAAAACAACTGTCTCTAGTAGGTGTTAGCTTTTTTCCTTTAAATTGTACCCATATATACCATCATTCTCAGCAAACTGACAGAAGACCAGAAGATCAAACACCGCATGTTCTCACTCATAGGCGGGTGTTAAACAATGAGAACACATGGACACAGGGAGGGGAGCACTACACACTGGGGTCAGTTGGGGGGAAATAGGGGAGGGACGGTGGGGGGTGGGAAGCTGGGGAGAGATAGCAAGGGGAGAAATGCCAGATGTAGGTGATGGGGAGGAAGGCAGCAAATCACACTGCCACGTGTGTTCCTATGCAACAATTTTGCATGTTCTTCACATGTACCCCAAAACCTAAAATGCAATAAAATAAATGGGGAAAAAAAAAAAAAAGAGAATGAATAATTAGAATGAGGAAAAATGAGAGTGGCTTGAGAAAGTCAAGGCCTAGGGAAAATACTTCAAGATCAAATGCAGGAAATTAAGAGGCATTCTCTTCGGTGAACTCTATTTCTATGTGAATTGGTCATTAACAGATAGGTAGGGGAAAGGGGAGGTCATAGATTTACATAGTGAACTTTAAGAAGATGATGAAGTGTGAAAGGCGAGACAGAGGGGCTCTGTGAAGGGAAAAAAAGGGATAGAAGTAGTAATAAGGGTCCAGCTGAGTTTAAACATACAAACTATTGGTAGCACTGGCTTACCTTGTTTTGAATGACTGAGGGATTTTTTCCCCCAGCAATTCTCTGCAACCTGTGTCTAGGAACAGAGGAGGTACATCACTGGAATTGCCCAAGGTGAGAGAGATTTATAAGGTAGGTGAAGCAAAAAAAACTAGGAAGAAAGGAGTTGAGAATAGCTGGTTAGCCTATATGTTAGAGTAGGTAGGTAGGCAGACATGAGCAGGGCAGGAAAGCCTCCCTACCCAGGAATGTCAAGTGACCATCAGATGATGGTCAGGCTATTGTTAAACTGTCTCTCTAAAATAATCATTGAATTCCAGGCACGGAAAAAAAAAATCTAGTTGGAAAAAGCTGCTCTATGGTAGTAAGTATTGTATAAGGCAGTATAACTACACCAGCCTGAGATCATAAAACCATTTTGGTTGATCCTTGAGTGATGATCATGATTTCATCGAGTAACAAGAGTAAAAAAAAAAAAAATCCAACAAGAATTTTTGCAAAAATTCCTCTCAAGATAGATAATGATATCCTTGAATAACAGATAAAGTAAATGCCCTCTTCCAGTTAGATAACCAATGATGTTCCCACAAATGTCACAGCAAAGACCAATAGACTTAAGTCATTTGAAGAACTGATATACAGAATTAAACATGCAGTGTCATTTTTATAAACCTGTTCCAATATTAAGATCAGTGCTATGAGTGAGAAATGAATATCATAATATTTTATTCATTTTTGTTAATATCCTTTTGGGTTATATGAGAGTTTTTCATTCCTATGACTGTACACTACACAAAAGAGAAGAAAATATACCAATTGAATGCTCATGTAAAGTATTTTATTGCTAACAAAAATTACTAGACATTACTTGTGAACAAAAAAAAAAAAAAAAAAAAAAACCTGTTCGCTGACAACTTGTCTAGTCTATAAGTAACACAGTATACTACCTTACCGAGTTAGAGTTTAATTTTGTTCAATATCATGGGATTATAAATGTCAGCATTTATTCTATGTTATGACACATTCTTACTAGTATATTTTAGAATCAACTTCAAGAAACAACTGAATCTATTTGCCAATTATTGTCAAAGAGAACAGCTCAATATTAATTATCCCAAAACCAATTCATCAATTTTGGCAAATGTTCTTCTACACTCAGATATAAAATGCTAAAAGTTTAATTCAAGGGGTTAGCTTCATTATATGTGGAAATATTATGTAGCAAAGTCATTCTGACATCCTTATCATACTGCTCAAAATTACAAATTTTATAAGAGGCTTGTAAGTTATTTTATTATAGAGGTGATGGAAATGAGACTTTAGCCTACAAAATATCCTCAGTCAAAGTCAACTCTTTTATGCTTTAGAGTGCAGAATTCCATGGCTTTGTTAAAGCTCAGGTCAAAAAGCTGACTAGATCCAAAACTGCATTTAAATTAAAGTCCTTGGACTACTATAAAGTACACTTGTAGGACTAATTTCATAGAGAGATGGCACAGCCTTCCATGCAGGTAAGAACACAAATAAAGCTCTTTGATTATTATATAACAATGTCATGTTTACAATCCACACTATTAGAATTCAATGCATACGTAATTGCAATAGGCAATACAAAACTGTGATGAACTTTAGACTCGATCATTTGCTATCCACCTTTAGTCCAAAGTCAGCCAAAGAATCAACATGTTGCTGTAAATTTCCTTGTGAATGTAACCTCTCTGCTCCAAGCACATGGTGATAAAGAAAAAATCTGAAAAGGGAGAAACAAATTAAATATCTAACCAAAATGATGATAATAACAGTATCAACAAGAAGAAGCATCTCCATTGCCCAGAAACAGAAGGAAAATACAGCACGATGAAACAATGAGCCTGCTGGGATATAGGACTGGGAGAAGTCAATGAAGCAGAAGTTTGTGCTCTGCATGGTAGAGGAGACTCTAAGTACCCCATGCAAGATGGGAGGTAAGAAAGTCTGTCTCACTGATACAAGCTTGGCGCCGGTCCAGCCTGCTTTCCATACCTTCAAAGCCTCCTGATTGCAGGAATAAAAAAAAGAAACTGTTACTCATCACTACCTGAGAGTATATATATATATATACACACACACACACATACAGACACATATATGTGTGTGTGTATATGTGTATATATATGTGTGTGTATGTGTATGTGTGTGTGTGTGTGTGTGTGTGTGTGTGTGTATATATATATTTTTTTTTTTGCACTGGAACCAAAGGGACACTAGCAGAACTTTACAGCAAAAACTGATTGAAGCTACTCCATGGGCTTAAAGCCTAAATTCTAATAGCTTCCAAACAAGTACAGGATGTAAGGATGCTTTTAGGCTTCAAAAACTGCTTGAGAAAATTGTGCATATGTGCATATCTTATGATTACCTATTTTAATCTTAGGTGTGCACAGTTGTGCATGAGAAGAAATATAAAGGAATTTTGATGGCAGCATGGTATATAAGAGTCAAAAATTAGATCAATAGGAGAATGTATATCAATAGGAGAATCCATTATTAAAGTACACATATTCATAAATTACCTAAAGCTATATATTTGAACCATATCATTTCAAAACATATCATTAAACAAATAAAGTATGTGATTTTCTAAAAGGACTAATTCAGATGCCAATATGTGACATTTGGTAACTTGTAAAATGATATTAATAAAATATTATACAGGGAAGCATACATATGTAGCAAACCATGAGAGAAGAATAAAGAACCTCAAATTCAGGAATAGAGACGCAGGTATATAGAAAAGATCTGTAGAGGACCCATCTTGTCTGATGGCTTGGACCCTCATGAATTGTACAAGAGGTTGACAACGTTTCCTGAAAGTATTTTATCAGCAGAAATGCATAGAAAGAAACAGAGACAGGATGGCATGAAGGCAAAGGAGACTCATGGATGCATAGGCCTTGAATAAGGGCATTTCTTAGTTCTAGAGGGCAGGCCTACCTCCTTGGTTCCAGCGGTCAGGGTGGAGAGGGCAGAGTTGCTGTTAGGACCACCACGATGAACCCAGAAGACAAAGTCCTGAGCCACATATAATGATTCCCAAGCCTTACAACCTATTAAAATTTGTCCTACTAGGTTAAACTTGCTTGAGACCAGTAAATTTAGGTAAGTGACACTATCTGTTTTTCCTTCTAATTTCTCCTTTTTGGAAGGAGTACATCTATTCTCTATCCATACCACCATTGTATCTTGGGAATAGATGACCTATTTTCTATGTTTCACAAATCCACTGATGGAGAGGAATTTTGCTTTGGGGCGGGCTGTACCCCAAATCTCACTCATAATTAATTTAGAGATACTTTGGGCTTAGAGTTGATGTTGGAGTGGTTAAGACATTTGAGGGTATTGGAATCAGATGTATGTATTTTGCATGTGGGAAGAACTTAATTTGGAGGGGATTGGAAGGCAGGCGTGATGAGTTGAATTGTGTCCCTCAAAAAAGATCTATTGAAGCTGTAACCTCCAGTGTCTCAGAATATGACCCTCTTTGTAAATAAGGCCAGTGCAGATGCAGTTAGTTAAGGGGAGGTTGCAATGGAGTAGGGTGAGCTTTTATTCTATAGGACAGTTGATCTTAGAAGAAGACAGCCATGTGACGACACAAACGCAGGGAAAATGCCATTTGAGGATACAGCGTAGATTACAGTTTTACTGCCACAATCAAGAAAAGCCTGGGTTTACCACAAGCTGGAAGAGGCAAGGAAGGATATTCCCCTAGAAGCTTCCAAGAAGCATAGCCCAGTTGACATCTTGATTTCAGATATTTAGTTTCCAAAGGAGAGAGAATAAATTCCTGTTATTTTAAATTACCCGGTTTATGGTACTTTGTTATGGCAGCCCTAGAAAGTGTTTAATAAGAACTTATAATCTACCAGGTACAGTATTATATAAATTCACATTATTCTCACAATAGGCAATGAAGGGAAGCATTATTATTATTCTTACCCCCAATTATAGTTCACTTAACAGAAGCTCTTAAAGGTTATGCAATTTATCCATGATTTGCAAAGCAAGTTCATTGTGCTACTGAGACTTTAAGCTTGGTTTTCAGTCACCTACACCCTTTACAGCATTGATTCAAATACCTCCCACCAGGTTCCTCCCATAATACGTGGGGATTATGGAAAGTACAGTTCAAGATGAGATTTGGGTGGGGACACAACCAAACCATGTCACTCTCTTCTCTAACCTTGAGAAATCTTCTTTTGTAAACAGAACTTAAATACCTAAGCAAATCCACAATGGGATTATGTAAATTGAACTGATATACAAATTTAGCAATGCCAAGGGTAAATCTGGAAAATATCACTATACAACTATACCTTATCTAGATATACTTAAAAATGGAAATGAATTAAGGAATAAAATATGATTTCTCTCAAAAACAACATGTTGACTAATAACCATCAACTCTACTTTTCAGCAAGTAAACAGAGACTTTGATTTTAGTTTCAGCACTCCCAGTAACTGTTGTTTCCCTCTCTAGACCTAGCTCCTCATATATGAAATGTTACATTCTTCCAGATTCCTATCAGCTCCAAACTTCAATTGGAAAATCATCAATCATTGCCTGACTTTTAATTTAAATTTGAAAAGAATACAAATAGAAAACTGCATATATAGTACCATAATAACATTTAGCTTTTGATGTTTACTTGAATCTAAATCCAGCCAAAACAAGCTTTTTGGCTTTGGATACTTGCTGAATAAAGATAACAATGGCCAGACACTTTAGAAAGAACCAACACACACACACACACACACACACACACACACACCCCATTATATATATATATATATAAATATTCCTCTATTTTGTGATGACAGTAACTCAAACAATGTATCTCTTTATGTTGCGGGCTCAATGCACAATGATTACTCTGTAAACGAAGACAATATTTTTATTTTTAGACACCTGCTTCGAAGTAAAATTTAGTGAGCAATGTCTTTTATTGTACCTAAATTATACATATAGCATCCCTGAAAAATAACTGTATAATAACTTCATATCATACCATAATATTATACTATCCCAAATGTTTTGGAATGAACTTGCCTAAGTCTTATAATAAAAATCAATTTATCTTTTACTTTTTTTTTCAATAAAGTACACATACAAGTTATAAAATATAATGATTTCAAATAGGAAAAATAGGTTGCTTTTGGCATTATAACATGAAGTACAAATAATTTTGGTTAATAAAGGTTCAGATTTAATTTTCCTTACTAGCCAAGACTTGGCACACTATATGATGTATATTATTTTAAATAATTATGATCTTTCAGTCAGGAGGATTAAGAACCACAATTGACAGTTTCATAAAAACATTTAAAAATTATCTTCCAATATAATACAACACAGAATTCCTTCTTAGCTTTAACTTAGTATACTTCAAAAGTAAAATATGTTTACATTAGCCAGCATTTATAAAGTTTCTCATTGTTTAGCAATATGCTTAGAGCATGAAATCACGACAGTAAAGAAAAAAAAACACGTCTATAATCTAAACTACAGCTAATGTAAATATGATTTGCATAATTTTTAAAGTTACCTGAATAGAGAGAGAACCTGCGTTTGACACTTTTCTCAGGGCTCAGGACTAAGAACAGAGGCAACTGATCATTAACTTTTAGCTACAAGCAAACTTACACACACATCTCCAGAGACTCTGCTTTGCCCTTCCCTCATTTCTCTCAAATAGGGGAAAGGTAGTTCTTTCTCTTCTTAAGACCTGCTTTGACATACACGATTAGTTCATACTTTTCAGAGTCTAAAGTAAACTTGGCTTAAATTATATCATAGGTCAAAGAAGGTGAACAAGACTGGCAATTTGAACTGCTAAATTTAACCTTCTCATGTGCTGTGTTGATGTAGCCACATTTTCAAGCACATTTTCCATCATGTGATTTAATATCATGCATAATATATATTACAGAAATGCTATACTACATACATTAATAGTTTAGTGACCCTTCACTGAGTCTAAAACTATGTAACTCTAAGTTATTAACAATAATAAAGAGGCCAGGGTCAATGTGTTGAATCTCTTGTGAACCAGTCAGTTTCATTTTGTTTCTTCATCACACGTAATACTCCCTACCTGGTCAGCCATTCTGTAAATGTATGCTCTCTGTCCCAAAGGGTCCCTTACCCTGTGTGAGGGTAAATCTGGTGATAGAACATTAGTACCATCTTTGTGTTTGAAGAAATTACAATAGCCTTTGGGAAAATGCAGTGCTGTCATTTATTAAATGCTTCTCATATTCTAGGTAAGCATTTTGCCAAATAAGTTATACCCATTATCCCATTCTCGAAACCACACATGATAGACATTATAATAAATATTTTCCTATGGGGGCACTGAGGCTCAGAGTTTTGATTACTTATTTAAGGATATATAGCTGGGAAACACTGGATCCTGGATTCCAAATCTAGATTGTCTGGGTTCGAGGCACATATTCCTCTTCATCAGACAGCATGCTAGACCCTCCATATCAGTGGATGAGAAATATCTGATTTCCTATGTGAAAGATACAATTATTTAGGTCTAAGCACTAAGCAATAGCCACTTGTAAAATACACTTCCCAAAGATTTTGATAGGCTGCATTTCTAAATGCATATAACATTAAATAATAATAACCAAGTAATAACATAAATAACCTCTATAAATTTTATGTATTTAATTAAATAAAGAAAATGCTTTTAAAATTTTTGTGGTATGTTTCTATCATTTCTACATAAAAACTAAAACATTTTAGTTTTTAAACTTAAGTTTTAAAAACTAAAATGAAATAAAAGCATAAGGAAATCAATCTAGTACAAAATTAGACATTCACTGAGGTTTTAATACAGTAAACCAATTGTATTATGGATTTCACAATTATATAGTACATCTGACAATCAAAAGTAGTCTATATATTTAAACTCTTCAAATGCTTCTTTGTCCCAATGAAACAAGGTGTTTAGTGACTAGTAAGTGTTCAACACATTTACATGGGGTAAAATAACTAACGTAATGTAAATGACTAACCAATGAATAACTTCCTTTTGTACACATACCTCAAAGTAGTTTCTTTCTTAAAAAGGGCAAAAGAATAAAATTTCAATAATATTGTTTGCTTTATCAACTACTTTTTGATATTAACAACATGACAATGACTCAATTTTATGCGAAGAAATGATTATTAACTTTATTCAGTTAATGTTATTTATTACATAAGAAAAATAAATTTTAAGGTTCCCATATGTATAGTTGTTTTAGTTAGTATTATTACAAAATAATCTAAAGTTAAATAAGAAGAGAAATACAAAGATATAAGTTTGATATGTAAAAATTATGTTATCACAAAATAACTTGATAAAATCTATAAAAAACAAAATTGACAGGAGTATGCATAATGCATTTTGTATTCATTTTGTATTATTTTGCTTAATGTCATTACAATATAAAATCCTCAAAAAATACTATCCACTGATAGAAACCATGGTCTGTTAAGTCTAATGTACATGTTAGAAAAGTTTAAAGAGTTCAAATTAAAAATTCTATATTTTCTTCCTAAAGGTAGAATTCATTTTTCTTCATATAAGCTATTTCTCCTACTAAATTATTTTAACATCTTAAATAAACATGTTAAACAAATCCACCAAAAATTAAAAGTCACCTAAAGCAGCAAATTATGAGCTAACGTTTGCTGATGTAAAACACACAGCAAATATAATGAACTGACTTTAACATTAACTTTACTCATCTTTATAATCATAGTAACATCTTCAACAATTTGATTCACCTTTTTTTTTACAAGAATATATCTTAAAGCACAGAGCAATCACATTATTAAGGTTGAGCCACTAAATTCTGTGAGGTGTTAAGGTAATCACAGACAGTGTGGTTTCTATATGCACCTTTGAGAAAAGAAATAGCCAAATACTGAACAGACCTGTTCACCAGGAGCCCTGGGGAAAAAATGGCTGAAGGTGACTAACTTTTGCCAAGGTTATAAATTCTCAAGACTAACTCCAAAAATAGCATCACGTGAGTTTTTTTTTTTTTTTTAATTTCCGGTTTCCAAAATTCTTCAATAATATGAGGACAGGAGAGAGAGGAAATGCGGATAGTCTTAGGAGAAAACCTTGATAAACAGTCTTTGTGCCCTTGGAACAGGTTATTAATTCAGTGTTTAAAACATGACAATACATTCTTGGCAATAGATACGTTTATAATATTATTCCCAAGTTTCACGAAGCATTTTACACATTTCCTTTGTGAGATTATGATGTTTTTTGCATTATGACTAAGGAGTAGAAACTGAATTAATGTGCAAAATCCAAGTTTTTTATCTGAATAAAAAGTGCAAGAAATTTTAAAGAACAGAAAGCTCAGGTATATATTTTGAATTGAAAACAGCAGTAAATGAATCCAAAAACACAAAATCCAAAGGTCTCACAAACATGATAGGAATAATATAACACATTGCTTTTCTCATCTGGATACAATATTGTTTTTCTATTCCTTTCGGAAAGAGTATCATAATCCTAACATTCATTGAGCAGTACTAACAATGATTCTATTTTCTAAATTCTAGAAATACAATGGAGCTAAAAGTTAGCTTACAGCAGAAGGAAACAATTCACATTAGTTATCTCTCAGAGTTATAATTTAAAAAGGCATCACTTTTAACCGTAATAAGCATAAGAAAGAGATGCCATCAGTCAAATTTGTTTTCATAGAATAATTCCTTTAAAGTTTCAATACTTCATGGAAAAATTTAATTGGGAGAGGGTGGTCCTAAACACAAATATGCAAGTATTCTACCATCTTAATGGATTCCCCCTTCTTGCTGACAACAGTGGCTCACTAATGGAACAGAATTATTGGAAAGGTGATTTGAGTACATGACACATTTAAGATCCTTCCTTTCTTGGCTGTTATCCACTCAGTAGAAGATTCTACTGTATTCAACCAATACAGAAAACACGTTCAGAGAGAAAGTGCTTTAAAAATATCCTTCTAGCTCAGGACCCTGGATTCCACTTAGCTCCCTGCCATCACTCTCAGCATGCACTGTGGCCCACACTAACTAATTAAATGCACTAACATTCTGCAACTCAGCTCAAAATCAGAGTCAGCAAAAAATGTCTCCTCCTCTCTAACATGAAACCAAAGTTGCCAATCCTTGTAAATGCTTCTTGCAGAAGTCAAATCTATCTTCTTTCCCTAATTTCCACAGGCACCAATAAATTTAGTAGCCTCCCAATTGTTATCCCAACCTCTAATCTCTAACTAAAACCCCAAATCTTTGCCTGAATTGTATATCGAATACAAAAGCAGACAATGTCATGCTCCTAGTCAAAACTGGTCAATAACTTTCCTCCCCTTCCCAGCATTCACATACCACAGCATCTTATGCCCACCCAACCACCCAATCACCTCTCCTCCACATAGGAATACCAGAGAATATGTTATAAAACACAATATGATTGGGTGTGTAGTTTCCATCTATTGCTATTGCCAATTACACTAGTATGGGTGCTTTAATGTGCTTTGGCTTTTTACTGTCATTTGTGAAATAAAAAGACATTGTTTCTCCTGGTTTTAAAAACACTACAAAGGCATTAGTCATTAAGCAAATAAAATAAATGAACTTTGAGGCAACATTAAATCTTCTGTCTCAGTCACATCTCACAGGGTATGAGATCCTTCCACACTCAAAACAAATTTACATCTTAAATAAAATTTAAGGTAACCTCTTGCTGTTATTTTAGGATTTTTATCATAGTTTATTTTATTGCATTTTTCAATTTTTTGACAGGTTCTCACTCTTTCAACGAGGCTGGAGTGCAGTGGCAATCAAAGCTCACTGCAGCCTTGAACGCCTGGGCTCAAACTATTCTGCTTCAGCCTCCACAGTAGCTGGGACTACAGACACATGCTACTACATCTGACTAATTTTTAAATTTTTTTAAGTAAAGACAAGGTCTAACTATGTTGTCCAGGCTGGGATTTTAAGTTATTTTAAATAAAAGTATAAAACTTCCATATGATGATGTCTAGAAATAACAATTTAAAAAGCAATGTAAAATTATATGGCAAAGACCGTTTATAGAAGCCATAACCATGCCCTAGAACTTAAAGTCCCATGGCTTCAGCACTTTTATTACCCTCTGGGTTTCCCCTGGGGACTAGGCTTTCTTGGTGCTCTCCTCAGCGGCAGATGGAGGACATCAATCTCTTTTGCCCTGGACTGGCACTGTGACAGGTGTCAGCCTGTTCACTAGGCTTCATTCCCCTGGGAGCACCAGTTATTTACTACTATGATGCGGCATAATTACTTTAAAAAATTTAAAAATCTAAAAAATTCTTTAAAAAAAAAATTCTTTAAAGGATTCCTTAAAAAAGAAGAAGCAGCAGCAAAACCAACAAAATAAAACGATGACAACAGCAACATCGCACCATGATTTAGTATTAGAAGAGTTGGGTCAGACCTATACTTTACTTCTCTCATCTTCAACAAATGATCTAACCTCTCTAACCCCCAGTCTTCTCACCTACATACTGGCTTAATACATTAATATATTACCTAATACAGACACTCCTGTTAAAATAACGCTTCAATTCATTCCACATCTGGTTGCTGAATTTTCAAAAAAAAAAAACGAAGCAAGCTTAATGCCGCAATATTCTGGGCTCTTCTTTTTCCAGAAATGCATTCCTACAGAGGAGACACATCTGATCTGGTCTACACTGTGTAATAATTTTATTAAGGCAGATTCTTCCCATACAAGGCAAAGACTAAGTTTGGATGATAAGTTCAAATAAGAAACCTCATTTGAACATATATCCAAGCTGCATTCTTCAGGTCAGCATCAGTTTTAAGAATTAAATAGATGAGTCAAAGGGACTAGCTAAATATATTTTTTCCTTGTGTTTAATTAACTAACTTCACATTTAGTGACTAGCTAGCTAGAAAACCCATTATATTATGTACAGTAGGGATGCCAAGATAAATAAGTCAGCTTCTCTTTGCTCAAATAGTCACTTGCTGGAATAATAGACATTGGGGCCTACAAAAGGTAGGAAGCTAGGAGGATGATAAGGGTTGAGAAATTACCTATTGGATACAATGTTCACTACTTGAGTCATGGGCACAATAAAAGCCCAGATTTTACCACTGCACAATATATACATGTAGGAAATATGCACTTGTACCTGCTAAATACATTAAGAAAAATTTTTAAGAATTCAGTTTCCCATGGTGGGAGGGTGTGTGTGTGTGTGTGTGTGTGTGTGTGTGTGTGTTTGTGTGTGTGTGTGTGTGTGTGTGTGTATTAAAACCAGAATTGTCAAAGCTAAAATAGAGTTATAAAGTAGTATTAGCAATGTCATATATTATAGAACCTTGTATAATTTAATTGATCACCACCTACCTTCACATATGCTAAAGGTAAGAGCCAAAATAATAAAACTACTTACTCTAGGCATCTGCTGTCACATCATAAAGCTGTCAAATAATGTTAGGATTTTAATTATCAGGACAGTATCATAGAAGCATTCCCCTGTATCTAAAACCATTATACTCATTTTTACTCATATTTGATAGACACATTAGCAAATATTACTATTTCATATCAAGAACGCTTAATTCATTATTTCTGAACCATGTTATTATGAATGGAGAAGACCAAAAATTTAAAAGTTTTCCTAGGTTTAAGATACTGCCAAAATCTGTAAATCTGGCCAACTCGGCATGATAGAAAAAGTCCAATTAGCTGATTGCTAGCATTTATATCAACCCACACAATCTATGCAAAAGAAATGAGGACACAGTGAGTGTCTTAGTGGAATATTAGGGAGAATATATTAACAGCTGGGCAGGCTCAGCTTATCTCTACTGATTTCTTGATGTGGTTTTAATACAGAAAGGCACAGACCGGCAAAGAAGGCATGGCAAGGTATTTGGTACATAATTCACTTGAAACCTTTCACTAACTCATTGGAGTAATATTTTTTTTTTTTTGTCAAATAGTTTCTCTTTTTCTCTGCTACCCTTCTGTTAACTGCTGGATTCAAGTTAAAACAGGGTCAAGAAAGAGTGATATCCTTTGTAGTTTCAGTGTTCAAACAGTTCTCCAAGGCTACCCAAAAGATCCACTCATTTCCGGAAGTTAATTGCCTTGGGGAAAACCCCTTCTAATTTACTGGATTTTTAGCTGTATCCAGGTAAATGAGATGCCAATTAGTAAAGTGTGGGAGAAGTAAGACTATAAAATGAAAATCGAAAATATTGACTGCAAAGCACCACAAAGATACTACACGTATTTGAGGAAAAAGAGAAATCTCACTTTAGCAAAATACATCATATGATTATTGGTATCTGTTTCTTAATCACATACTCAACAGGCCTGTGATTATAGTTTTTAAGTATCCAATTTAAAAGGATGATATCCCTTGTATTTCAGGAGTCTGTGTAAGAAATGTATTTTGTTTTGTTTTTCCTAGTACTAGAGAAAATCTAGGCTGTCAAAAGACAGGCACAGACAAACTGTTTTGTAAGAGCAATGCACATTTTAAAACTGCATAAGAAATCATGGCGTGCTGCTACTGGTCTTTTTTGGATAGCTAGAAAGAGTAAATAGATCTCGCCTCCCTGCCTCACTTTACTGCTAGAATCTATGCTACATCAGGGATCATTGGTTCTTCTCCACTATTCTGGGAACATCTTGAACAGGTATCATTTATTTATTGGCATTAGGAGGTATGTAACACATGTTGGTTGAATTAATTAATGTATTGTCCCTTGGAATATAGCCACTGTGGTGAAGGCCTAAAAGGCTAAATACATGCTCCCACCAGCACTAAAGCAGACCCACCACTCCTGTCAAACACAGAGAATGGGGCATTGACAGAAGTAGTCATTTCTATTTATCCACTTGAGAGTCTCCTCTCTTAACAATGTCTTTGAAAACTCCTTTCAGACTAGGTTTTCCTCTCGTGTGAAGTATTTTTAATGTAGGATCCTTATTACAGGGTGCTGCATGCTTTCCCTATTACCAAGATATTCTTATGCTTAAGTAGTGACATCAAAAAAAACCTAAAGGCTTACCATATAAAACAGCTAGACAGAATAAGTAAATTCAATGAAATGAATTATTATAGAATATGCAAATTTGCTTCATCTACATATTTACGATGATGAAAACAAAGATGTTTTCAAAGCACAAGAAATTTTTAAAAATTAAGTAAAATAACAAATTACAAAATTTACATAATTTTATTATATTAAAATGCCTCTACCACAAAGGCACTCATCCCAAAGTTTTGGATACTTCCCTATCCATATCTGAATAAAGAGAATGAATATAGTGTTTGAGGAATAATTTAGTAATAATAATAGCTACCATTTAATTAGTCTATCATATGCCAAGTATTAATACTATTCTAAGCACTTAACATAAATTAATAATTTTCACAAGAACCCTAAAAAGAATTTTTCTTGTCCTCATTTTACAGATGAAAAAACTGATGCTTGAACAGATTATAATTAGTAAGCATCAGAGCCAGCATTTGAACCCAAACACTCCAAGATCTATATTCTGTAGAATAAAAACAGGCAGGGGCAAGCTGGTTCCATTAGTAAACTATGTATCCAAAAGGAATCATATCACATATTACAAACTAGCTCTGTGATCACATTCTTAGTATAGAACAAAAAATTCAATCAAAGCAGCAAATAGATTTATGACTGACCTAATAAGCTCTCGGCAGAAACCACTGTTTCTACTCTGAGGCTCTCCATAATTTCACAGTGTTGACCTGTATTTGTTTTCTACTTCTGCTATAACAAACAACCACAAATATAATGGCTTAAACCAACAAAAGTTTATTATCTTACAATTTCAGAGGTGGGAAGTCTGAAATGGGTCTCACTGGACTAAAATCGAGGTGTGAGTGAATGACTTAGGAGAGAATCTGTTTCTTTGCTTTTCCATCATCCGAAAGCCACCACTGGCATTCCTTGGCTTGTGGCTGCATTCCTACATCATCAAACCATCACGGCTGGAATTAGTATATTTCATTCTGCCTTCTCTCTTTCATTTATAAGGATCCTAATGATTACATCGGGCCCACGCACATAATCAAGGATAATTTCAGTCACCTGATGAGCAAACTTAATTCCATCTGCAACCATAATTCTCCCCTTACCATATAATATAACATATTCATAAATGACAGAGATTAAGATGGGGGGGGTCCATTATTCTGCCTACTAATAGATATACCAAGATTTGTTCATGAACTTAAGGTAGAAGACAGAGCACATGATACAACGGAGGTAGAAGACAGAATACAACCACACAGTTGGTCTAGGAATTGTTCACAACAAACAGGTAACACAACTTTGTAAATTTATCATACTACTCTTATAAACTAGTTAAAATATTAGCAATCCAAATGCAAACATACAAATTTGACCAAATGAATATAGTTGGCTACATTTATTTGACTAGTTATAAGAACAGTCTAGAGAAAAGACTATAGACTGGTTATAAGAACGTTGGATTTCAAACTATCTCCCTTGTAAGTTATGCAGTCTTCAGCAAGACACAATGCTGAGCATCAGTTTTCTCATCTGTACTGTGGGAGTTATAATCCCAGACCTGCTTTACACCAAGACTGTATGAAGGATTAAATCAGATTCAGTCATGAGTGTGGAAACTTTGTGAGTGATAAAGCCCTATGCAAACAAAATATGAACATAAAGAAATGCCAATATGAT